CACTATTCCTTCCACTGACACCAATGATGGGGCACTATTCCTCCCACTGATACCAATGATGGGGCACTATTCCTCCCACTGATACCAATGATGGGGCACTATTCCCCCCACTGATACCAATGATGGGGCACTATTCCCCCCACTGACACCAATGATGGGACACTATTCCTCCCACTGACACCAATGATGGGACACTATTCCTCCCACTGACACCAATGATGGGACACTATTCCTCCCACTGACACCAATGATGGGACACTATTCCTCCCACTGACGCCAATGATGGGGCACTATTCCTCCCACTGACGCCAATGATTGGGCACTATTCCTCCCACTGACACCAATGATGGAGCACTATTCCTCCCACTGACACCAATGATGGGGCACTATTCCTCCCACTGACACCAATGATGGGGCACTATTCCTCCCACTGACACCAATGATGGGACACTATTCCTCCCACTGACACCAATGATGGGGCACTACTCCTCCCACTGATACCAACGATGGGACACTATTCATCCCACTGACATCAGTGATGGGGCGCTAGTCCTCCCACTGCAAAATTACAGTTATGAAGTAGCAACGAAAATAATTTTATGGTTGGGGGTCACCACAACATGAGGAACTGTATTAAAGGGTCGCGGCATTAGAAAGGTTGAGAACCACTGCCTTAGACTGTTTAAAGATTCCCAAAAAAAGGTAACCCCAATAGAAAATGAACGGGGTCATTAGGAAGAGACACATCAAGAACTCTCTCATGCAGAGATTTTAGGGCTGGAGGGTAGGACATTGCCATAGTATATGGAATAATGAGCCCTCGCCTTGACGGCACCTCCATAGCCTGGGGTAAGGTTCCAGGCATGGAGCACTTCAGGTGTTCCATACCAAACCTTCATCACTTTGTAGGTAGGTAGTTAGTTTGATATAATAAAGAGTACCCGTCTGTTATATAAACACCCAAATGCCTGAGTACACCAATGGTATGGATAAGCAGACTGAAGGGAAGGTCATACTGGGGATATGTAAGGGAAGTGCTTCCATCTTGGATATATTTATTTTGTAGCCCAATAGTTTGCTAAAGGCAGTTAATGTTTGGTGGAGCACTGGAAGGGAACTATGAGGTTCAGTCAAGGTCAAAAGGATGTCATCCATAAATAGTGATCATTTATATTCCCTGTGACACAAGGACGCCTCATGAGTGTCCACATTTGAATGTATAGCAGCTGCTGGGGGTTCTAGGCACAGAACAAGTAATAGGGGTGAGAGCGGACATCCCTGTCTGGTGCCATTGCTCATAGGATTGTAAGATCAAAAGAGCAGGGCCCTCGAACCCCTCGTGTTTTGTCTTGTTACTGTATTGTCTCATGTTCTGTCCCCCACTATAATGTACAGTGCTGAGCAAATCTTTTGGCGCTATATAAATAATGTATAATAATAGGAAAAAAAGTGGAAAAGAAAAATGTGGGGTGAGAGTATACCGGATGGCATTTAAAAAAGTGCCCATGAAGCCAACACAAGTCAAGGACACTAACATGTAGGGCCAACCTAACCTATCCAACTCCTTTTGGGCATCTCAGCTCCATAGCAGTGCAGGTGTCTGAGTTTTGTTGAGAATGCCATCCAGGTTTTCCATCCATCGGGTGTTGTCCCCTGCTTGTCTAGTTGGGATAATCTCAACCTGGTCTCTGGATAAGTCATGGAAGGAGCCGGGAAAGCCTGTTGGCTACAGTCTTTGTGAAAATGGTATAATCAGAAATAATCCATGTTATCGGCCGGTAATTATCTGGGGAGGTGAGATTTTACCGGGCTTTGGAAAGACTGTGATGTAAGAATGCATAAAGTCTGAATGGGGAATCCCCCCTTGAGTAAAGAGTGATAAAGGTCTAGTAGTTAGGGGGGCCAATATTGGAGAGAATTTCCTGTAATATTGATAGGAGTCCATCAGGACCTGGAGATTTATGAAGGGGGAATTTTTCAATAACCTCCATGAGTTCCTCAATAGTTATGTCAGAGATAAAAGTTTCAGATCAGAGGAGTTCAGTTTGGTTGTCTGTAAAGAGGCAGTAAATCCATCAGATGTTTCTGGACTATAAGGTGGGTGCTCGCCCGCTGTAAGGCCGTCATACAAGTTATGATGAAACTTGGCACAGGTCCCAGCCATAGTATAGGGGCAGTAAATGGGGGAACCGTCTTGTTGGAGTGATCAGTGGGGGATGGATTGTGGTGGCCTAACTCTGACTTTGTTCTCCATCATCACATGTGACTTATTGGATCAGTCATACATTTCCTGTTGAGTCCAGAGATTTAGTCCCGTATGTCTATCTAATTCTCTGATTTGGTTTTGCAGCTGTGACACCAGGCGAAGGCGTGACACTGGGATGGCGCTAAAGCTGCTCCTCTCTAGTTGGTGTAAAAGAAGGAGTCTGGACCGATTCTTATCACGTTTCAGACGGGTGAATGTGGAAATGCATTGACCTCAGAAGAAAGCTTTATGTGCCTCCCACAGGGTAGACGCCTTGTACACTGAGCCAGTATTAAGCTGAACAAATTCGGTCAGAGCGAAAGGAAGTGTATCCCGGATTTCTGGGACCTGAAGGAGGGACTCATTTATACTCCAGTGGTGGGATTTGGTTCCTGAGTCAGAGATCAGTATGTCCAGGCTAACAGAAGCATGATCTGACCAGGTGATTGGGTTTATGTCAGGGTTAAGCAGATTAGGGAGAAGGGGGCAGAGATGAGGAAGTAGTCCAAGCCAGAGGACATCTTATGTGGGGCAGAATAAAAGTTGTATTCATTATGGGTGAGGTGCTTGAGGCAGGTGAAGTCTGCTTTCTCCACTGTAGGTGGCGCTCGACCCGGGTGGCACCACAGCCTAGAGAGGGAGTCCAGGGGAAAAAGTTTCTCTATGGTTTCCTGGGGCAATGGAGCAGCCTTCTGGTTGGCTAAACTATGGCCATGTGACCTTTGGTGGCCATCTTGGGTAAGCAAAGTTTTTATAGGTCCCTGCTCCAGGGTTTTGGCACTCATTTTGCGAGTGGCTAGTGTAGGGAGTGAGACCCTGCTTGTTAGGGAAAGTAACTAGCAGTAGGGAAAGTTCCTAGAGTGGAGGTGGAAAGGCAACAGACTCATTAACCTGAAAAGAATTCTCCTCTCATGGGATCAAACTGGCCAGTCCATACTTCACCCTCTGAAACAGACGCTGTTGGCACCTCTCCTCAGCCACATCTTTGACTGCTTTGAAATGTGAGTTATTTCACTACAGCATCACTCTCCTACCGGGGTGTTTGTAACATTGGAATTCTGCTCAATGAAAGTTCAAGTTTTATTGCAACAAGACTAGTGTGTTCACTGCCCCCGCACCCGCACTGCACCTCTCCACATGCTTAACCCCTCGCCCTCCACAGGATTTACCCCCCTTCCTGACCAGGCCATTTTTTGCAATACGGCACTGCATTACTTTAACTGACAATTGCGCAGTCATGCAACGCTGCAACCAAATGAAATTTATGTCCTTTTTTTCACACAAATAGAGCTTTCTTTTGGTGGTATTTGATCACCACTGTGTTTTTTATTTTTTGCTCTATAAACAAAAAAAACTGACATTTTAAAAAAAAAACACTATATTTTTTACTTTTTGCTATTAAACATGTCCAGTAAAACAAAATTTATAAAATCTAATTTTGTTATAAATTTAGGACAAAATGTATTCTGCTTCGTGGCTTTGCTAAAAAAAATCCCAATACGTGTAAATTAATTGGTTTATGTGAAAGTTATATCAGTATATATACTGCAATTTTTTTTTTTTACTAGTAATGGCTGCAATCAGCGACTTATAGCAGGACTGTGGTGGGCATTCTGACACTGGGGGGAACTGACTTGGTGTCACTGACATCCCCAGTGACATCAATGCTAATAAAAAGCACTGACACTATACTAATGACACTGGGCAGGAAGGGGTTAACATGAGCAGCAATCAAAGGGTAAACTGTGCGTTTCACTGTGTGCATGCTGCTATGCAGAGCCATACAAAGCAGTGTGTAGGAGCTGACAGGGGAGAGATGTGTGTTGTTTATACACAGGTCTCTCCCTGGTCAGAGATACTCGGTGAACACCGGGTGCCAGTGAGTAATCACCATCTGGAACCCAGTGACTGACAGCCGAGGCGTGAATGGCGGTGCAGGTAGGGCGTGCGCCCCCTACCTGGAACTACAACACCACATATATATAGGTGATCTAGCGCAACCCTGCTGCCCTGTAGCAGTATTTCCTCTATAGGGGGAGGGGAAGCGGATACATTGGTATTTTAGATGTCACCATGGAGAGCGTCTTTTCCTTTGTCATTCTACTATATCACACTGAGTCTATCTGCACAGCGATCTGATGGGACACAGCACAGCCATCGTCTGACATGGGGGTTGGAGGAAAGCTGGAGATCTCAGATTGATAGACAAGTGCTGGGTGATCCTCTGAATTGGGGGTCATAGGATTCTGGGAATCCCCCCGGTGTTGTACCCCGAGGTGCTATGTGCTTCATCATGAAGAAGTGTTGGTGACATCCACATCTGTCATTTCCCTCGTCATCGGAGAACCACACAATTCAACTTTTGGCTTCACATTTGCTTTATTTATTCAATTTGTGGTGAAACATAAGAAATTGATAGATTTCCATCATAGTATTGTATTGTGACCACTTCATCCATGTCTCTGGGGACCTCTGATCTCCTTATGAACTGTTCATTCCATGATGAAGATCAGCCATGGAGTATATCTGAGGTGTATATCAGGGGGTGCTTCTTCCCCACATGAGAGCTGGGATGTCCAGCAACATTCATCTAGAAGACATTTCCCGCACTCAAGGCACTAATACACCTCCAGGGTTGTGTGGGACCCCTGATGTACAGGGAGACAGGACTTCAGTGAGGAACATTTCCCTCACTCAGGACAGGAAAGTAGCTTTATCCCCTGTGTGAGATCTCTGATGTCTGGAAAGATGGACTTCACTGAAAAACATTTCCCACACTCAGGACAGGAATAAGGTTTCTCCCCCGTGTGAGATCTCTGATGTTTGTAAAGACTGGACTTGTCTGAAAAACATTTCCCACACTCAGGACAGGAATATGGCTTCTCTCCCGTGTGAGATCTCTGATGTATGTCAAGACTAGACTTCTGTGAAAAACATTTCCTGCACTCAGGACAGGAATATGGCTTCTCCCCTGTGTGAATCTCTGATGTGTGTAAAGACTGGCTTTTAGTGAAAAACATTTCCCGCACTCAGGACAGGAATACGGCTTTTCCCCCGTGTGAGATCTCTGATGTTTGTAAAGATTAGACTTCTGTAAAAAACATTTTCCGCACTCAGAACAGAATATGGCTTTCCCCTGTGTGCAATTTCTGATGTGTGTAAAGACTGGACTTGTCTGAAAAACATTTCCCACACTCAGGACAGGAATATGGCTTTTCCCCGTGTGAGATCTCTGATGTGTGTAAAGAGTGGACTTCTGTGAAAAACATTTCCCCGCACTCAGACAGGAATACGGCTTTGCCCCGTGTGAGATTTCTGATGTGTGTAAAGACTGGACTTCTGTGAAAAACATTTCCCGCACTCAGGACAGGAATATGGCTTCTCACCTGTGTGAGATCTTTGATGTGTGTAAAGATTGAACTTCTCTGAAAAACATTTCCCACACTCAGAACAGGAATATGGCTTTTGACCCGTATGCAATCTCTGATGTTTGTAAAGATTGGAGTTCTGTGAAAAACACTTCCCACACTCAGGACAGGAATACGGCTTCTCCCCCGTGTGAGATCTTTTATGCACATTAAGACGGGATTTAGAAAGGAAACCCCTTCCCGCACTCAGTACAGGAGTTCCTCTTCCCTCTTGGAAGGCCGGCCCGGTCCCGCACAGTCTGAGGTTCCTCAGGATACGAGGAATCCGATGGTCCATCTACACTGGGTGGTGCCGGATGGACATTGGAGGGAGCCGGGTTTTCTCCTGGACTATACTGTGTGATGTCCTCATCTTCTACTTTCCAGTCTGGAGACAAAGTGAGACAATCCTCGGAGGTTTTCCTCATCTCCCGGCCATGGACTAAAATACAAAGACAAAGAGGATTACTAGACAGGAGCTGATTGGTTCCCCCAAACCAGGACTCCGCCCACATCAGGCAGCTTGGTCTCTGAGGAGCTTACAATTCCACCCTCAAGGGAACTAGGAAATGGCTCCTCTGATCTCCTACCAGGTCATTTCTTTATTCATTGGACCTTAGTCAGAGAGTGAGGAAACAACCAGAACTGTCTTTTATAGGAGGGACAGTGATGAGGGGATTATAGGACGAGGGTCCCCACCCCCCTCTATCACTCATCGCCATCTTCCCAACACAAGAAGTACTGCACTTCCTTATTTAGTCCATGATTTAGTCATGAAGAACAGCGGGGCTGAGCCCCACCAGAGGTCAGAGAGTGAGGATGGGGGGAGAACAACCAAGATGAAGACTGGACTGATCCTGAAGACCACCATCATTGGGGTATTGACTCCTCCCTCATTATCACTTTCTGTTTAAGGGTCCAAAGTTGGAGGATGTTATCACATTATTATCACCATGTAAAAGTCTGTGCTCCAATCACATCATCCGATATAAAATGTCCAGCTGGGAGGAAATGGGTGAAACAAAAGAAATCCATATTAATGTGTACAATTTAGCAGTCAGAAACAAAAGTTATGACTATACAGTCAGATAATGTATTGTACAACAGAGTATATAGTGCAGGGGTCAGGAGTGCGTATGTAATGTACAACACAGAGTATACAGTGCAGGGGTCAGGAATATTTGTACAACCCTGCAGATTGTGTACATTGCCCACTTACAGGGAAATGAAATGGTCTAAATTTATTATCAGGGGTCAGATGTATGTAAATGTACAGACAGAGATATAGTGCAGGGGTAAAATGTAATGTACCACAATCCAAATGTATAATAGTGCAGGGGTCAGCAGTATCAGTAATGTAAAATAAGTATTTGATCCCCCACCAACCAACAATGATTCTGGCTCCCATAGAGACTAGGCTAGGTGCTCATGTGGTACAAGATCAGTCCTGTCAATATATAGTGCAGGGCTAAGACATGTATGTAATGTGTATAAAAGTATACACCTGTCCAGGGGTCAGAATCTCTTTCTTGGGCACCACTACCATGGGCAAGGACCAAAGAGCTGTCAAAGGATGTCAAAGACATGATTGTAGACCTGCACCAGGCTGGAATGGGCTACAAGAATTGCCACCAGCAAGAAGCTTGGTGGAAGGAGACAACTGTTGGAGCGATTATTCACAAATGGAACAAAGGCTAACCATCAATTGCCCTCAGTCTGGAGCTCCATGCAGAATGTCACCTCATGGGGTAAAGATGATCATAAGAAAAGTGAGGGATCAGCCCAGAACTACATGGGAGGAGCTTGTGAATGATCTCAAGGCAGTTGGGACCACAGTCACCAAACCATTGGCAATACAATCTGCTGCCTTGGACTGAAATCCTACAGTGCCCGCAAGGTCCCACTCCTCAAGAAGGTACATGTACAGGCCTGTCTGAAGTTTGCCAATGAACATCTAAATGATTCAGAGAAGGATTGGGAGAAAGTGCTGTGGTCAGAGGAGACCAAAATTGAGCTCTTTGGCATTAACTTGACTCGCCGTGTTTAAAGGAAGTAAAAGGATCTGACTATGACCCTAAGAACACCATCACTACAGTCAAGCACGGAGGTGGAAACATTATGCTTTGGGGCTGTTTTCTCTGCTAAAGGTACAGAACAATGTTGCTGCCATGAGGGGCCAATGGACGGGGCCATGTATTGTGAAAACTTTGATTAGAACCTTCTTTCCTCAGCCAGAACACTGAAGATGGGTCGTGGATGGGTTTTCCAGTATGACAATGACCAAAAAATACACCCCCAATGCAACAAAGGCATGGCTCAAGAAATAGCACGTTATGGTCATGGAGTGGCCTAGCCAGTCTCCAGACCTTCATCCTATAGAACATTTATGGAGGGAGCTGAAACTTTGTGTTGCCAAGCAACAGCCAAGAAACCTTCAGGATTTAGAGAAGATCTGTAAGGAAGAGTGGACCAAAATCCCTCCTGAGATGTCTGCAAACCTGGGAACCAACTACAAGAAACGTCTGACCTCTGTGCTCGCCAACAAGGGTTCCTCCAAATATTAAGTACTAAGTCTTCTTTTGCTCGGGGATCGAATACTTATTTTTTACTCACTGAAACTGCCACTCCATTTATAACATTTGTATCGTGCATTGTTTCTGGATTTTTGGTTGATATTTTGTCTCTACAATTTAAAATACAGTTATATGACAAACGATATAGACCCTTCATTTCTTTGTAAATGGGCACATTTACAAAATCTGCAGGGGGATAAAAAATGCAATTATTTTCCCCATAGAGTATAGTGCAGGGGTCAGGAGTATGTAATGTACAACATAGAGTATATAGTGCAGGGGTCAGGAGTATGTAATGTACAACATAGAGTATATAGTGCAGGGGTCAGGAGTATGTAATGTACAACATAGAGTATATAGTGCAGGGGTCAGGAGTATGTAATGTACAACATAGAGTATATAGTGCAGGGGTCAGGAGTATGTAATGTACAACATGGAGTATATAGTAGTGCAGGGGTCAGGACAATGTAGGGGTCATGTATGTAATGTACAACATAGAGTATATAGTGCAGGGGTCAGGGATGTAATGTACAATATAATGATGTACATTGTAAGGGTCAGGACTCATAATATTGGCAATCAATAGAAGCTTAAATGTTTACTGTAGACAAGTTGCAGAGGTCCCCACACCGCTGCCTCCCATCTCCTGAGACTGCACTCAGTGACTTGGGCCTGAGACACTACAGACATATCCCTCCACCCGGCACAGCCAGCAAGGAGAACAAGTAACCCTGGGAGAATTATTCTGTCAGAGATTTTGCTGGACCCGGGCATGGGGAAGGAGACCCAAGACACACATGTCTATGTCCATAGGACATCTACCTGTGGTGAAAGACATCTATGGTGAATCAATGAACATTTTTCTGCCAGCTGAACCCCAGAACCTCCATAAATCCAGTCTAGATACATAAATTGTGTGTCTGCAGCACAGAGAAGGAAGATTATCCGAGAGAAATCCAGGAATACAGGACGGGGAACACAGCTCAGGAAAGTGACCAGGGGATTACAGGCTGATATATCACCCAGTCCCCCCGCCCTACTCTGGACCAATCAGTGAGCAGTATGGGTGGAGGAATGGATTTAGTGTTCATGACCCACCTGTGCTGATCTCTGTAGGAGTGTCCTCCTCTATAAATGTCCCCGTTATTCCATCCTCCTCCATAGACTGCTGATCATCCCTCACATACGCCTCTTCTTCTTCTGATTTAACCTCAACTTTTATATCGATTGGATCTCCACTCTAAATCAAGAGAAATGATGAGAGAAAATAACATCTGTAAAAGTGATCATGAGTACCCCCACACGCCACGCCCACAGCAACTAGCTAACCGAGGTGCGCACGTGCGGCCGTGACTTGGGGTAAGGGGGAACAAGGAGGACTTAACTTTGAACCTATATATAAAACCGTATATAAGATCAGCCGTGATGTACTTCCACAGCCCGTACTACATTTTGGTCACCAGTGGGTGGGAGACTCCACTCATCCAATCCAGGCTGGTCGACCACACACAGGCAGATACAAATCTTACATACAATCTGGTGCACTGATTAGAGTTGAGGAGCAACTTAGTAATTACACACCCTCTAGGGTCCCTCCAGCTATCCTACAGCTTGAAACCCGGTGTTAATCACTCTTCCACTGTCCACACACCCCCACACCAGACACAAAACAAATGGTAGCTTGCCACCACCCAACAGTTTGACCGCAGACTAGCCTGCTAGGCCACCACACACACACACACAGATCTCCATCTGGCACACAAAGGTAGCATGCCACCACCCAGCAGTTTATCCACAGAACAGTCTGCTGAGACACCCCACACACAGATCTCCGTCTGGCCGATCTGTTACCTTTACAATCTGCATGCAATCCCACCCACATGCAGTGCAATTGCATACAGATTGGCAATGAGCTTAACCGAGTGTTTAAAGGCACTAAAATACAATACAATCTAATCTAATCCAATACATCAATCTAATCTTTGCAATCTAATCTCTCTGAAGATATGAGCACGTGCTTAAATACACAGAAGTCACTAATTAATTTTAAGATTTAATATCCCAAAAGTGGGCAGTGCATAAAATATGTACAAAGTATAAAAAGTTACAGAAAATACAAAAAATACAAGAAGACACACAAATGACTATTCACTATAGAATAAAAGACAGAAGTAAAACTTCACCGAGATTTATCCTGCGACTGGAGCAAGCCAGAAAAGTCAGCAATCCGTTGGTCGATCAACCAGCTCCATACGAATTACCGTGTCCCAATGTCCGGGTACTCCATTTATGGGGATATGGACGTAGGCAGGACATTAGTCCTCGGCCAATTGACCCTGGGGGATTTTCCTGGAGCTGCCCACAAATGTTCTGGGTGCTGACCTGCCCAAGTTCAATCGGGACCAAGACTCCAGCTTGAAACACGAAGTCACATTGTGGATTGGATTTCCGACATCCATGGATCCGATCGCGACAGTACCACTATTCAACTGTCGCACTCCAGCGCCACACTAACCATTTCCTGTATTTTCCTGGCCTTCTACCTAAACCACATGGTTTTCATACGTCATGTGACGCACAGCGTGCATTATTAGAAGGAAGTATCTCCATCTCTCTGCAACTAATATTTTAGCTTTTATGAGAGATGAAACAAACCCCAACCCCTGGTTGATGTATGGATATACTTTTACTCTCCCCAGACAGATTTATTGGAGACCCAAAATGCTGTCATGAAGCCAATTTATGTGCATGGAGGTTTTCCTCCAAACCAGTTTCCCCAGAACCTGTCAACAACCTCATTAGCACTTAGGGTGTCACATCCAGAGGAAGGCAGGCTTTTCAGCCACTAATTGATGAGCCTCCATGTCTGAGTACCTCTGACTTGAATACATCTTTAATGACAATGGTGCAACTACGGTTACGATTACATATTCTACTTACCCGCATCTTCACTCTACACATATCTGAATGCAGTCACATTACGTTACATAAAGTATACAAAATATACCGCTTAAATTAATTGTGACTCACAAAAAATCCACATAGTCTCTATAAGTCCATGTTCTAGATGCTCCATCCCACCAACCTTGTAATGGTGAGGGATGGTGTGACCTTCCTGTGTGGAATCCCGGGAATACAGAGGACGGGGACATCTCTCTGGTGGGTTCCTGGTATTAGGTGGCTCCATCATATCCTTGTGTCCTTCTGAAAACTCCTCCATCACTCCATACTCCTCATCCTCCTCTTTATACTCTTCTTTAACATCAATATTATCATCCCCGAGGATTCCACTCTGAAATATATAATAAAACATTCATTGTAACAAAACATGCTGTGTATAAATCACTAACAACTACCAATAATTGTCATCATCTACCTGATGATGGTGAGGGATGGTGTGACCCTTCCTGTGTGGAATCCCGGGAATACAGAGGACGGGGACATCTCTCTGGTGGGTTCCCATGACTGGATCCATCTGTAGGAAACACACACACTGACTGAATCCATTGTTTCTATGTGTTTATCAGATGATGGGGGATCTAGGTGGATCCTCCGTACTGCTCTCTCCTTTACAATAAAGTCTCCTCTTACCCGGTGATGTGAGGGGCGGCTGATTGTCCATCATGACGTCCTTGTAGAGATCCTTGTGTCCTTCTAAATACTCCCACTCCTCCATGGAGAAATAGACAGTGACACCCTGACACCTTATAGGAACCTGACACACACAATGATACAGTCACCATCCAGACACATCCCTTGTCTGTTACTGGAGAATGTCCCAGAATTCCCGGCACCGCTCACCTCTCCTGTCAGCAGCTCAGTGATCTCTCTAAAATGAATAGTCTAGAATAAAATTACATTCCCAGAATCTCTCCTCACCTCTCCAGTTAGGTCTGTGTTTTAGTGAAGGTCATATGATCAACAGTTCTGCTTTAGATCTGTGAAGATGCAAAGGGTCCGCCTACATCCTAAGAGCACCAGAAAAAAATCAAAGAGATGGATCCCAGATATTGGGGGAGGAGCTGTGATGTTGGTGTGATGTCATAGGATTCTCTGACTCTGGATGGATGGACATTGGGAGGAGGAGCTGTGAGGTCAGTGTGATGTCATAGGATTCTCTGACTCTGGATGGAGGGACATTGGGAGGAGGAGCTGTGAGGTCAGTGTGATGCCATAGGATTCTCTGACTCTGGATGGAGGGACATTGGGAGGAGGAGCTGTGAGGTCAGTGTGATGTCATAGGATTCTCTGACTCTGGATGGAGGGACATTGGGAGGAGGAGCTGTGAGGTCAGTGTGATGTCATAGGATTCTCTGACTCTGGATGGAGGGACATTGGGAGGAGGAGCTGTGAGGTCAGTGTGATGTCATAGGATTCTCTCCGACTCTGGATGGAGGGACATTGGGAGGAGGAGCTGTGAGGTCAGTGTGATGTCATAGGATTCTCTGACTCTGGATGGGGGGACATTGGGAGGAGGAGCTGTGAGGTCAGTGTGATGTCATAGGATTCTCTGACTCTGGATGGGGGGACATTGGGAGGAGGAGCTGTGAGGTCAGTGTGATGTCAAGGATTCTCTGACTCTGGATGGGGGGACATTGGGGGGAGGAGCTGTGAGGTCAGTGTGATGTCATAGGATTCTCTGACTTTGGTTGGAGGGACATTGGGAGGAGGAGCTGTGAGGTCAGTGTGATGTCAAAGGATTCTCTGACTCTGGATGGGGGACATTGGGGGGAGGAGCTGTGAGGTCAGTGTGATGTAATATGATTCTCTGACTGTGGTTGGAGGGACATTGGGAGGAGGAGCTGTGAGGTCAGTGTGATGTCATAGGATTCTTTGACTCTGGATGAGGGGACATGAGAGGAGGAGCTGTGAGGTCAGTGTGATGTCATAGGATTCTCTGACTCTGGATGAAGGGACATTGGGAGGAGGAGGAGCTGTGGGGGCGCTCTACAGATTCACAGAATCAATTCTCCCGGGTGCGTCCCACCTCTCCTAAACTGAAAGATGAACATTGTCTTTGGGCTTTGCCAGCACACATTATATTCCTGTGTTCTCCGGACACTTTACTGATCACATTTTAGGATAAATATCTGAGACTGGGGTCATTATGGGGAAAATAGGTTTATTAGGACATTCGGTACATAGTTAGTCTGGCTGAAAAAAGACAAAAGTCCATCCAGTTCAACCATAAAAATAAAAGTTATAATCCATACACCCACAGGATCCAGAGGAAGGCAAAGCGTGATCCAATTTGCTCCTACTGGGAAAAAAATTCCTTCCTGATCCCCCGAGAGGCAATCGGATGATATTTTTCCCTCTTTATCCTTTTTGATTCTAAACATAAATATTCCAATCCCCCTAAATAATTCCCCATCCCCCGCCACTAATAAGTGCCATATAATCCATTAGTATAGACCGATGAGGTGAGAAGGTGACCCATCTCCACAATGAGGAGAATGTTCCGGCCCCGGAAGTGGGGGAATGTTGTGCCCCTGAAGGGGTTAATCTGGGTTCCCACACTATATATGTGTGTATCATCATCTGCTGCTGGAGATAAAAGATGTCACAGTGACTATGGAGGGAGAGGACGGACGTGACTATGGAGGGGAGAGGACGGACGTGACTATGGAGGGAGAGGACGGACGTGACTATGGAGGGAGAGGACGGACGTGACTATGGAGGGAAGAGGACGGACGTGACTATGGAGGGAGAGGACGGACGTGACTATGGAGGGAGAGGACGGACGTGACTATGGAGGGAGAGGACGGACGTGACTATGGAGGGAGAGGACGGACAGGACTATGGAGGGAGAGGACGGACAGGACTATGGAGGGAGAGGACGGACAGGACTATGGAGGGAGAGGACGGACAGGACTATGGAGGGAGAGGACGGACAGGACTATGGAGGGAGAGGACGGACAGGACTATGGAGGGAGAGGACGGACAGGACTATGAGGGAGAGGACGGACAGGACTATGGAGGGAGAGGACGGACGTGACTATGGAGGGAGAGGACGGACGTGACTATGGAGGGAGAGGACGGACGTGACTATGGAGGGAGAGGACGGACGTGACTATGGAGGGAGAGGACGGACGTGACTATGGAGGGAGAGGACGGACGTGACTATGGAGGGAGAGGACGGACGTGACTATGGAGGGAGAGGACGGACATGACGGAGGTTACTGGGTTTAAATAGAACATAACACTTTATTACCTCTTCTGCTTCATGCCTCATGGAATTTCCTGCCTGTACCCAACATCACTTCCTGTCTGTCTTCCATAGAGACTTCCTGTCTGGGTAGAAGTGGGATCACCACCTTGTGGAGATCAGAGGAACTGCAGCCCCGAGAATCATCTGGTAGTGTGACCCCGGCCTTGTGCTGTGTGTGTATGGACCAGGAGCAGACTGACAACTCATGGGGCCCCCAGGCAATAGGGGCAAAAGCCTATGAAAAAGGTACCAGGGGCATCTCATGGGGCCCCCTACTGACCCCGGGCCCTGGGGGGGCAGTGCCCGAGTTTCCAAATGGTCAGTCCGCCCCTGGTATGGACTGTAGATCTTTATAGAGGGGTCACCTCCACTCCCACCAAGGGGGACAAAAATATAGAAGTTCTCAGCCAGGGGTCCTCCAAAAGTTTCTAGGGGCTCCTTCAGCAATGAACAATTCCTGTCTCTCAGTAACATCTGACATCAATGATTTCTAAGGGAGGCAGTCTTCCTGCTGATGAAGTATTAAGAATGTCCTTCTACTGCCCACTGATATAAGGGGGCCCTTCTACTACTGATCACTGATAAGGGGGGGGTAGTTTTCCTACTGATCACTAATATATGTGGTCCTTCTTCTACTTCTACTGACCACTGATATAAGGGGGGTCTACTGAACACTGATATAAGGGGGTCCTTCTCCTACTGAACACTGATATAAGGGGTCCTTCTACGGACCACTGATATAAGGGGGTCCTTCTACTACTGATCACTGATATAAGGGGGTCCTTCTACTACTGATCACTAATATAAGTGGTCTTTCTCTTACTGATCACTGATATAAGGGGGTCCTTCTCCTACTGAACACTGTTATAAGGGGTCCTTATACTGACCACTGTTATAAGGGGGTCCTTCTCCTACTGACCACTGATATAAGGGGGTCCTTCTACTTATCACTGATATAAGGGGGGTCCTACTACTGACCACAGATATAAGGGGGTCCTTCTCCTACTGACCACTGATATAAGGGGGGTCCTTCTCCTACTGACCACTGATAGGGGGGATCCTTCTACTGACCACTGATAAGGGGGATCCTTCTACTGATCACTGATATAAGGGGGGCCCTTTTCCTACTGAACACTGTTATAAGGGGTCCTTCTACTGACCACTGTTATAAGGGGGTCCTTCTCCTACTGACCACTGATATAAGGGGGTCCTTCTACTGATCACTGAACATAAGGGGGTCCTTCTCCTACTGATCAATGATATAAGGGGGTCCTTCTACTGACCACTGATATAAGTGGGGTCCTTCTCCTACTGACCACTGATATAAGGGGGTTCTTCTACTGACCACTGATATAAGGGAATCCATCTCCCATTGGTCACCAATAAGGTACCAATAAATGGACCACTTGGAATGAGCTTTGGGTTTGGACTAAACCCATGTCTGTACAGAATTTGGCTTTTTGGGGGGTCAGAGAATGGCTGAACTAAATGGGTATTCAGCCATGTCGATGGGGTTCAGGCTGGTGGAGGGGTACAGGCTGGCCATTCCTTGTGCAAAGTGCCATTCCAATGCTAAGTGTATGGCACTTTGAACATCTCACCATCCTCTGATCAAGTCTCCTCCACTGTTCAGGTAACCACTGATTTCCTCCTCTCTCAAACACTAAGCTACTTTGTCTGCAACTGACACCTGCTTGCTGTTGCCCTCGGTAACCACATGTTCCCTCCTCTCTCAAACGCTAAGCTATTTTGCATAACTGGAATCATCGTCTTTGTTACTGTAACTGCTGTCTATACTTGTCTGTATTACATGAACTTACTCTCTTAGAGCCTTGATGGAGATCAAACACGGTGCCTTATCTTGTGTCCACTCTGCTTGCAATTTGTTGAGGGCAGAAAACCTTCACCATGTGTCATTTATCAGCCCTTAATTGAATAGTTATCTAACCTCCCCCAGTCCATCCAAGTATCAATTCAGTCCAATGCTTGGGACGGCTGGTGAGGGGGTATAAGCTGGCTATTCCTTATCCTAAGTATTCGGCACTTTAACTAAGGCAAGTACAAACAGTAGTGCTCCACCCCAAGTTGTCTGCAAATGCTCTTTTCTCTCCCATCTCTTCTCCTCACCCTCCAACATGCTCTTGCTAACTTTCCCTTTTGCTATAATGTCCTCCCTCCTCAAACTTTCATTCCTTCACCCCTCCTCCCCACCCCACAACCTGTACATATCACCCTTACTTCTGCCCTCTCAACGTTACAGCACTTATCTCCTGCTCTTTCTGAGCCCAGATAATGTCACTGCTTCCAAATCACTGTGGCATCTTCCCACATATAAATCCCACTCTCACCCTCCTACTAACTTCTGGAGACTTTGCCCTAAACCCTGGCCCTCCACCTTTAAATGCCCACCCACA